CAATATGGGTATCAAACTGAAGAGGTTTAGGAAAGTGTACTACCGTATATATTTTTGAGGAGGGTTGCCACCTCTTTGAATTTTTTTTCTGTTAAATTGATAAAATGAATGAAATAAAAATATAAATACAAATCCCTAAGTCGGTAAGAAGATCGCTAACTAATATTTTAAGTATATTGATAACTACATTTATAACACTGTACCACATTTTCCGTTTTTTTCTGGGGGTTTTCTGAAAGACTGGATTTTGTAAAGTGATTTCTCAGTTTTCCAAGGTTGGCGATTTTAAGCGTTTTTTCAAATGAAGTTGGTGGTCGCAGAACAGCATGTAAAACAATAAAATTTCTAGGGTTATTGTATTAGCATTTAAATAAATTTTAATTGCTGCTTTGCGACCACCAACTGCAATTGCTTATAATCGCCAATCTCACTCAACTACTGCTACCTATGTGTGTAGTTGCATCGATAAAGATCTTTTAATATTTCTTTGAAATCTACAAAAATATATATGTTTATATGTATATGTATGTTCTTATATTTATTTCCATTCATTTCACACCAAAGTCTCCCGTGTATTAGGCACACTCACGATCTGTTTTATATTCAGTCGAGACAATTTTTTTTATTATTTTTGTTTATTATTCACCGGTTATTTTTTATGATGAATTTCCTCGCTACCAGTTTTATGATGAAATTTATTATTTATTCCTTTATTTTTTGTTTTTGTGCATCGTTTCCGCTTTTCATTCATCTTGCACACGTGCATTAAGCACACTTGCACGTTTTCTGAATTTTGCGCTAAATCAGCGTAATTTTGACGAAGCACGTATTTCATTTAACTAGAAAAAAAAGTGTGTTAAAATCAATGTATGTACATACTCGTACATACATAAATTCATAGGAAATTCAAAAAGCATATGATATCAAAATGAAAAAGGCAATAGCGCAATCATGGCAATAAGCGAAATAATGCAGACATATGCAATTTCGTATAAAGCGATAACTAAATTCAACTTTCAGCTGGCATACAACTTTACTACGCTAAAAGCCTATATAATATATATATGTATATATAGGTGTGCGCAACACATGTACATAAATATGAATATTTCATATGTTACTTAATTCCTTAGCTATCTCTCCAATTTGTATTAAAAGAGCACAGTTAACATTTCGCGCTTGCCAATTTCCTTTGCTACAGGTTTTTGTGGAAAATTGATTGAAATTTACACTTGAATAAATCATAAACTAAAATTGATGAATGTTAGCTATCAGCCAGTTTGCGAATGTACATTAGGATGGTCCAAAAATGCACTTGAAAAATTAAATTTGGAATTTGCATGCTCTCACCCGCTAGGTTGCTTAAAGCGCTCAAAGTTTGCCATGTATTTTATATGGGAAAAAAACACTTTTCGTTTAAATGGTATAGAACCCCTGAAAATCAATATTTTTCGATCGGAAAACCCAGTTTCTCTTTGGGGGCAAAAATGAAAAATATTTCATATTAAAAACTTTTTAAATAAACGATTAGGTATTATTATTGGAAGTCTCCTGAAGAGAACCAGAGTTTCCGATCGAAATATATTGATTTTCGAGAATTCTATACCATTTCTATGAAAATTTGCTTTTTTCCCATATAACTAAGCTGACCAACCGTCCTCCTTTGAGGACGATTGTCCTCCTCATACGTGATTTCTCCTCCTCAAAAATGTTGTCCTTCTCTGTCCTCCTTTTGAGCAAAAACGCCCTCCTTGTCCTCCTTTTCAAATTTTGTAGCAGTAATGGAATTTAATTCTAATCGTACACATTCATTGTATTTAATAGGCGTTTACATTGTTCAAATTTCAGTTAAATGATGTAAGCATTTGATTCAACTAATCTCCTATGAAAGTTAAATAGTGTAACCGCCTTTTAGCCCTAATCAATAATATTTTACCCATTACAACATTGAAAGATTAGCTAACGACGCGTCTCCACAGGCCGAAATTATTGCCTACCATATGTCATTTTGTTTGCCAGATACATATGTATGTATAAGTTTTATCAGTTGTTCGTTGCATTGGAGCGCAAATCTGCTTAAAATTTTTTTTTAGAAAATGTATTATTTCACATCCACGTACAAAATCAAATCAAAAATAGCACAGGCCTGTGTGGTTTTCTCCTTAAAAATTAATTAGCGATTTGGGTATGTATAGATACCACGCTACCAAAACGATAATACAAATTT